GTTACAATTAAATCTTTAAGTGAGAATGTTTGTTCTTTTTTGTTTTGTTTTGTTTTGTTTTACGAGACAGGGTTTCTCTGTATTGTTTTGGAGGCTGTCGGTCCAGCCTGGCCTGGAACTCACAGAGATCCGCCTGCCTCTGCTGGGATTAAAGGCGTGCGCCACCACCGCCCTGCTATGTTTGTTCTTCTGTAGATCAGAAGCAACATGCTTACACAGAAAACATGTGACCATTCATATTTACAAAGGTAAACTTTGCTTCACTTCAGCTTTTGTCTTTGATAGTGTCTCAAGGTAGAACGGCTTGTAGTGATGGCTTTCATGTCCATTAAATGAAAGGTATCCAGTTGATGGGAAGTAAAATCTCACACTGCACTGGATCCTGAAATTAACATAAGAATTCTATATTGAGCCAAATGTATCTGGAATTATAGGTCCTCTTTCTTCCTCTTCATATGCCATCCTGGGGATTCAGTTTTATAGCTGGTTCTACGCATGTTCTCACAAAAGCAAGAACAAATTTCTCGATGACTCAGACATTGTCTGGAGAAGGAGACAGCCTACTCTACAAAGGGAAGGGGTCTGGACTACCATGACTCTGTGCAAACTCAACAAAAATGCTCTAAAGACTGAAAACTATGAGGAATTTTCCAACCTGTAGAGCATTGATTCTCAACCTGTGGGTCACAACCCCTTTGGGGGTCAAACGACCCTTTCACAGGGGTCTCATATCAGATATCCTGCATATGAGACATTTACAATTCATAACAGCAGCAAAATGACAGTTATGCGGTAGCAATGAAAATAATGTTAAGGATGGGGGTCACCACAGCGTGAGGAGCTGGATTAAAGTGGCAGCACTAGAACGGTTGAGAACCACTGCTGTAGAAGAATCTTGACAGAAGCGGTTTGTGCTCAGGAGCCAGCAAGCGTGCTTCCTTAGGTTATCTTCATGGTCTTGGTGTCAGTCCCCCATCTGTCCTCGGGACCTGTGCCAGCCATCAGAGCCGAGCTCAGCTTCAGACCTCCACACTACACTGAGAGTCTCCTTTCCTGATCCTCGGTCCACGGAGCTTCAGCCCATACCCCCACCCCCACCCCCCCATGTGTAATGCCTTCTCCTTGCTTGGAGTTACTTGGACAGCTTTTAAGTCTCTGCTGGGGATTTTGCAACTTAGAAGGCTGCCTGACTGTGATGCTTCCCAGTTCAGGTTTCCGTGGCAGGTAGAGGGCAGGCAGTACTTTTATACCCGAGATGTGTTTGACAAATTCTCCAAATCTCTCATATTTGAATCACGCCAAGTTTAGGGACAGACTTAAATATCCATTGTTTTTATAATAGGAAAAATGGAAAATAATGTGAAAATAGAGGAGGGACTTGAGAAGAGAAGGGGTTTGAGTGGGAGGAGAAGATAATAGGGGACAACTATGATCAAAGACCATTATGTGTGTATAAAACAGCCAAAGAATAAGTAAACTTTTAGGCTAAAATAAACACATTGAAATAATAAAATTAATTAGATTGAATTAGGACGCTGACAATATCTAGCAATTTGTATTTACAAAGATGGTAGACTCAGAAGATGTTTATGTAGGATTGCAGTTTAAAAAAAAACTCAGACCTCTGTCTTTTTACTCCATACCTCATGACTGTACATTCTTTTGCTATATCCTAAATACCTGTAGTAGGACTATATATATATATATGAGTGTGCATGCTTGCATGTGTATGCACACATAAACACACACACCATTATGAAACGAGACGACAATGAGGTAATGAATATGTATTAAGAGACCACAACCATTTTACCCACAGAACTATTACCCTTGTTCAGGATATCCCTGTCTCTACAGCTTCACCCTCACTCTTCTGCTCGGAAAGAAATGAAGGGGTCATAGCCCGGGTCAGGAATGGGCTCTATATGTGAGGAATAGACTGCAATTGCTGTTATAAACGTCTGAATTCTGCATTTTCTTCAATGCTTTCTTGGGGCTGATGAGGACAGGCTGCTTTTTCAGGTGTGAGTGGAGGGGTCAAGGGAAAAACATGTGTAAAGTAACCAATAGGTCAGGGACAAAAGAGTGTCCTAACTTTATTTATACTAGAATAATATTAAGTTCCCTGTCTCCTAGTGTCAGTAGGCTCTGTAAGTACTTATCCATCATGTACTAAGGCCGAGAAGCTGCTGTCCCTGAAGTAGCATATGGCCTGGAATCTTGAGTCTTCAGTGGTCACCAGTGAGTTTGTTAAGATGTTCTGGTGGTACCTGTTGCTTTGAGAAGGATAACTTGCATCGGGGAGGGCCCAGAAGTGTCTTTGTCGCCTAGGCGATAGATCTGGGCCCTAAGGATAGTTAGAATTTAGACACATTCAGTCAATCAGTCTCATTTGGTTTTTCGCTGTAATTAAAATGTTCTATAATAGGCACTGTCCAAAATGTGTGGTCACTAAGGACCTGGAATGCAGATAGTGTGAGAGAAAAGAGCATTTTCAGGCTTTAATTAAGCTCAATAGCCAGGTACGGCTGCCTAAAGGCTGTGGGTAGTGGACAGCATAGGACTAGGAGAGGAAACCAGAAAAACAGTGTCTTAGAAGCCAGAAATGACTAGGCAGAACCAGACCAGCACCATTTCCACAGCACCGAGGCTCAGACTTCAGTGAAGAGACAGATGGTGGAGACAATTGGGGAGATGTGTGCCGGCCCGGTGGCAGTTTAAAGAGGTTAACAGTCGTTTTAAGGCAATGCAAGTGAGGGAGTGAAAGTCTGGACCAATCACAGCATGCTGCTGGCCCTTAGTCTAGTATATATGGAGGAGCAGGGTTTCTGAGTTGACCAGATAGAGACTGAAAGATAAACACTGGGAAATGTCACTGAGAAACCATTAGGAAGCTCCTGCGGCAAGTCCGGCACGGTTCAAACAGTTCTACTTAGTTTACCATTGCTTAAGTAGGACAGCCAGGATATGACTCCATCAGTCAAGTGCCTTCTTCACAAACATGAAGACCTGAGTCTGGAGCTCCAGCAGTTCAACATATGAAAGCTGGGCAAGTGGTGTTGACGTATAATTCCATTGTTGGGGGAGAGACAGAAACAGGGGGGTTCCTGGAGCCCATTGGCCGACAAGCCTAGCTCAACTGATAAGCTCCAAATGGAATGACAGATGCTGTGTAAATTAAAGTGGGTAGAGAGACACAAAGGAGAATACCTGCTAGCCACCCTTGACCTCCCGTGCATCTGTATCCTGCCCCCACATCCACACAAACAACAGCAAAAAAGGAAAAAAGTAGAACCAGATATGTTTGAATTTCAAAGTCCATAAAAGGAAACATTTCATGGCATTATACCAGTGTTTTCAATTTCGTGGAGAACAAAAGAAAGTTGTGTTTCTCTTGGCCACGGAATGAGATAGACTGTGGACCCTATAGAGCCAACGCTTGGCAAGACCTTGTCCAATCTAGCTGGAGGTTTCTTTTCTTTTGAAAATTAGTTTATATGTGTGAGTGTTTTATTCAAATATACATCTGTGTGCTACAAGTGTTCAGTACCCAATGGGGGCTAGACTAGGGCATCAGATCCTCTGGGACTGGAGTTATAGACTGTTGTGAGCCACCTTGTGGGTGCTGGGGATCGAAACCTGGTCCTCTGTATGCACCTGTCTCTCCAGCCCCAGGTGTTGTTTAACAGACTCTTGCATTATTTCCAGGTGCTTTTCTGAAGGGCATCCTCTATTTTGTTGTCACACCTGTGACAGCCCTATTCGGTCTGATGTAAGCCCAAATCATGCCACTACAGAGTCTAGTATCCTAATTATTTGTGGGCAGTAGAACACTGAGAACGCAGTCTGTTTGCAAGCAATTGCCCACTAGCCTTTGCTTTTCCTGCTTCTTACTTCTTTTCGTTTTCATTTTTGAGATGAATAGTATAATCACATCATTTCTCCCTTCCCTTTCCTTCCTCCAAATCCTCCCACATACTCCTCCTCGCTCTTTGCCTTCCTTTTCGCTTGCTTGCTTTCATAGTCTTCCATTGAGAGGAAACACCAATTCAAGAAGGAAGTTGCTTAGATTTGAACCCTAGTTGCTATCTGACATTAGGTAATCTACTGATTACCCTGCCTACTACATCCTGTGTTAGGCAATCTACTGACTATCCTGCCACATCCTGACCTAGCTTAAAGGCTCTTATAAGCTAAGGTGTTCAGACTGCTGAAGACTGTGCAAGGTAGTCACCACAGGAGTGCACAGTTGCTGTTACTTTTCCACAGTCCTTGAGTACTACCTCACCTACCTGTTCAAGCTGGGGCCGAGCAGGGGTGGGGGTGCCCAGAGTGTTAAAGGGGGTCAGGAGCAATCTCAAAAGACTTCCCACAGCCCCTTACTGTTGGATCAGAAGGATTTGGTCAGAGGTGTTCTTAGCTAAAATCATCCCCACTCCCAGAAAGAAACCACACAAGTGTAAAAAACAAAATTAAATTCAGAGGAGGTGAAATAGAAGGGAAAGGGAAAAATACATATCGTTTAAAACATGTTTTATTTGTAATTATGTGTGCCGGTGCAGTAGATGAAATATGAAAGTGAGTGCGGGTGCCCTCGAGACCAGAGGTGTTGAATTCCCCTTGGGTCTGCCGTGACAGGCAGTTGAGATGCCAGGCATGGGTGCTGGGTGCAGAGTTAGGGTCCTCTGGAAGAGGAGCGAGCACTCTTAACCGCTGAGCTTCTCTCCGATTCGGCGAAGGAAGCCTTGGAAAGACCTGGAAGGTGCAGTTTTCGCATGCCCGGGGAAACTGCACTTTCCAGCAGATGTACCAGCTTCTTCCATCCTTGGCTCAGCAGACACAGAACGCTGGCCCCATGCTCAGGAGGTCCCGGTGCTGCCACCTACAGGACACGCGGTGCAGAGCACACCGCTCTCCTGTCGTAGGTCTCCAGGGCAGCAGCCTGCCTGTCCAGCCATGAATGCCTCACTTTGTTAAGCTTCTGTGTACTGTCCCTAGGCGTAACAATGGGGAACTAACTCATTTCTAAACATTATTTCTTAGGGGTTGGAGTACTAAGAAGCAAAGAAGTCAAAGAACACACAGCAGAAAGTGTACCTTACAGACCACCGCCGTGCTCAGTGAGTGGTGTTTTTTAATTACTGTATTTAAACTACATAAAAGATATTGATATTACTTAAAGATATTGATATTACTTCTTCACTTCAAAGCAGGTTTAAAGAGCCCCAAACACAACTTTTTAGAATCAGGTCACTCCAATTCTGATGTTGTGTCCCAACACCTGAACTGACTTAAACGAGTACCCTTCAGGTGTGAGAGAGCACTTCTCTGGAGGAGCAGTCACAGAGAGATCCCATCTGCCTGTTGAAGTGACCCACTTTAGCTTTAAAGCCCAGACACCTCAGATACAGGTATTTTTAAGCAGAGAACTTCATGCATGCATCTATGCCCTTTTGCAGAATAAGGCATTTTTAGGAACCATGTTAGAATGCGATGGGTTCTAACAAGTTTTTCTGACTCTGGGTCTGGGACTCACTTGAAACAACCTTATAGCAGCTTCTCATCCAGTGGAAGCACCCTGGGTTTCAAGGAAGTGGAAGGTCTATAGGTGACTTTTGACTTACCAAAAGAAGTTTCAGTTGTTTGCACAATTACTATGCTATTGTTTCCTAATGCATTGAGAATCAGGAAACTATATACTCCACTAGAAAAACAAACTCAAAACCAAATTACCTGTTAGAGCACTGAATTAAGGAGAGCATTTTGTTTTTTTATTCACAGGTTAGACAATAAGGTATCATCTTTATGGGACTCTGACCTACAGGAATACCAAGTTCAGAGAATAATTCAGGCAACATTAAGCCTGGTTTCCAATACTTCAGACAATATTAAGACTGTTTTCCAAACTGTAAGGGAAAGCCATGACTTATCCTAATCTAAAAAAGTATCAAAATGAACAATTCCAGTTCCTGTTTTTTTAAACCCACCCATTTGCCTCTGGGGAAAACAGGACTAGAGCAGAGGCCCAGTGACCCACTTTAAAACCAATAAGCATGTTCTTACTGCTCACAGTGCCTGGGTGGGGGTGGGGTGGGGTGGGGTGGAGTGGGAGGTTCCCATTAATGCTAACGCTTATCAGAGGCTCCTGATGCTAAAGAGAAAAGAGTGACACTTTCTCAGGTGATACAAGCCCTTGTCCCTTGCCCAGGAGGCAAGCTATTTCTAGCAGGAAAGAACAAAGTGACCTATAAATAGACTGCCATTTACTTGTTTGTTTTGTCTGGGGTCCATTTAATTGCATCTGTTAGTAGGCAAGAGCTAATGTCCAGCCATTATGTCCATCATAAGCCACTCTGGGGATGAGAAATGCAATAGAACTGGATTCTTCTCTCTGAATTGATTTTTTCCCCTCCCACATCAATTACAATATTCAGTAAAGGTGTTGGGTTCTCTCCAACTCCTTCTTATTTCCACAAATAAAATACACATATATTTATACATTTAAAAGCTTTACAAACTTCCCAAGACAATATAGTGTCTCAAAGGAGAGTAGTAGAAATTATGCAAGTCTAATGAGAGTCGAACGGAAGGATGGCCTTGCATCGGAATGCAGTACCTGCACACACACAATAGCTTTCTTGTATGTGTGGATTCGCTTACTTGAGTGGCCTCAAGATTGATTGTTCGGTTTGCCCAGAAAGAATTACATGAGTTGTGAAGATGAAGGTAGGCTCCAGGATGAGGTACAGGCTGCTGACATCTATATCCTGTGATCTGAGAAACCAGCAAGGCCAGCTTTCTCTGATCTCTTTCCTCCCTTGAAGTTCTTGTCTTAATGCCTAAGATTTCTGCACTTAGCTTCTATCATTTAAATTGGGACACTACTTATACCAGGGTCTTATTGTAATATATTGAAACAATAAATTAATCACATAATGCTATTATATAGCACCATTATTAACCTGGGTCCTATATTAGTTCTATATTAATTTTATAGACTTATGTTGCCAATGACGTCTGGCTGGCCAACAGTTGCTCAGCTCTCACCATGAAGCTGAATTCACAAAGAGTTTCTCCACAACTAAAGTTTTAAAAGCTCTGGGGAGAAGCTGTGGTCACCTTATCCTGGAGCGATGGATGTGGTCAAAGAGATGAGAGTCTATTGGCCTAGTTTGGACCACATCAGCTTCCCATTTCCTAAGCATGCAGACTGAGTGGGGAGTTTTATGATTGGCAGTCCTTGGTGGAACCACATTTTGAGTGATATTTCCCGAAGAGGATGTTTGTCTTCTGGGGGATCAGGTCCATCACAGCACTGGGCAAGCTGTCTGGTTTATTTGACTTTCAGATGGCTTGAATAATGAAAGAGTTGAGTTAGATGCTTTCTGAGGGTCCTTTCATACCCCAAAGTCTCTAGTTTTTCTTGATATATGTATGTATATGTATACACATACACACAATATTAGAAATCCATTTCAAGTTCAAGCAAGAAGAGGTGAAACCATTTTGCCTTTTGATGGGGGCCAGGCTCATAAAACAAATCAACTTGTCTTAAGCCTTTAGACCGTACAGGGAAAAAAAATGGGATAAGATGGTACATCAATGGCACACTTGAGAATTCCCCCTGGTGCTTCGAACATTAGTGACATTAGTTTCATTCAGTCAGTAATCACCACTGACCAATCCAGTTGGTACAAGCCATTATCAGTTAGATGAGGACTGATGGAATAGCTTTGACAGCTTAAGTGTTGGTGACTTGAGATTTATTCTTTTACTGACTTCTGATTGATGGTGGGACTGTTAATGAATATGGTTATTATCTTTATAATGAGAGATTACTGGAAAGCCCAGCTTGGGGAAGGAAAAGAATTCAAGTTGAAGAAGACTGCTTTTTGGCAGAGAGTATCAGGAGATAAAAACCCAGCAGGAACTGTTTTTTTGTTTTTTGTTTTTTTTAACCTTCACAGACACTTGATCTGATACCCCAGAGGGGACAGTGGTCATGTACATCACTTTTTAAGATTTCTCTAAATACATGTCTATACCACATAATCAATGAAGCCTAGAAAACCAATGGCTATGTTTTATTTTTAATAAGACTTGCTTAATTGTAAACTCTTGGTATCTATAAATATCTCCAAGGTCTCATTTGAGTACTCTATAAGTGTAGCACAGATGAACTGAAAACCAAAGGGGAAAACAATCTTTGATTAAGAAATAAAAAATGCATAACTCAGAAGCCTTCATATACATGCCAGTGAATGGATTTATCCTTAACCAAATAAATATGAATAGTAAAGTAACCACTAAAGAATACCTAATAGCAGTCAAAGCTGGACGTTACCACTGATTATTAAGGAGAGCTATGCCAACATCAGCAACTTTACATGATTATTAAGAAGTAATTCTGTAACAAATAAAAACAGCAAAGCACCCACACGTTTGCTTGTACTCTTGGATGGTGTTCTTATCTTTTGTGTTAAATCTTACTCAGATATAAAATGGCACAATTATACTATCTCTGTGGTGTGTTTTTTAAATGGATTTAATGAAGAGATACAGATGCGCACAACACACACACACACACACACACACACACACCATCATATGACTATAAAACTTTCCTTGGTATTTTCCATCTCTACTCTTTGGCTAATGATTATGTTAATTTGATGATAATGAAAGTATTTTATAAACTTTTCAATTTAAAAGTTTAAAATTTGAAATTCATGGTAATGGTGTTAAGTACATCAACCATTCCATTGCCGATCAATATTTACAATTCTTTTTATATATGTATGCACATATGTTTGTGCACAGTATGTATGTAAGTGTTCATGTCCATGTGGGTGCATGTAGAGGTTAGAGGTTGATGTCAAATGTCTTTTATCATTGTCTCATTGTTTTGAGACAAGGTCTCTTGCTGAACCTGGGACATGTCATTTCACCACAAGTACTTGTCAGCAAGTCTCCAGGAACTGCCTGGTCAACTACTCTAGAGCTGGGTTATAGATGAGTACTGCCACACCCAGTCCCTAATGTGGATGCTGAGGATGTCAGGTCCTCATGGCTTTTAACCACTCTGCCATCTCCCCAGGCCCCAAATGCCTTTCATGTTGCAAAGCTAGCAGTAAATGTATGTGTGTATGTATGATTTTAGACTTACTTGTTTTATGTATATGCCTGTTTTGCTTTTCTGTCTGTATGTACACCTTGAGCATGCCTGGTGTCCAGGGAAGTCAGAAGAGGGCATTGGATCCCCTGGAACTGGAGTAACAGATGGATGTGAGCGACCATTTGGGTGGTGGGAAGTGAACCAGGTCTTCTGTAAGAATAGCCAATGCTCTTGACCACTGAGCCATTTTTCCAGCCCTGCAAGCTAGAATTCTATACCCACTAAGGTTCTCTGTTCCTGCCACAGCCCTTGCGGCCTCCACTCTCCCTCCAATTCTATGGTTTCGCTCTTGCAGATACCTCCTGCTATTGTGAAACTGTTTTTTTTTCCCACTTAGCATAATGTCTCATGTTTGATTCATGTTGCAACACAAAACTGAATTGGGAAAAAGTTCCTGACTAACTAACAAGGAACAGAACATGACACGTATTCATTTCCCCTCTTTTTCAGGTAAGCAGAGGCCAAACTTGGATTACACCTCATGACATCAAGTGCAGACGTTCTTCTTGCCCCTGCTATATCCCCGAGGCTTCCCCCTCAGGACAGAAAAAGGTTGCTGAAGTCCCTGACTTACCATGTGTGTATTCCAGTCATTGGCAAGGAGGAAGGAAAGACGGGTGAACATGCCTTTCCTTTCACGACACTTTGTATGACTGTCTCGTTGCTTAGAAGTTACACAGGAGCAGTATGAATCGGGATGATTAGTATGACCAACAGAAAGACCGAAAATTGTGATCTTTACTGCTCATAACCAGAAGCACTGCACGAATGATGACGTCTACACTGAGGAAGAAGGGGAGAGCTGAAATTGAGAGATGGTCAGGAGGGTCAGCCTGAACTTACAACACTAGGTAGCACTCTGGTTGCCTACATAATCGTTTTGAAAGGATAGTGTTTTTCTCTCCTCTGTTGATACTCAATACAAATGAGACCTACAGTTTGTAGTTAGAGAAGCCTAGACCAACAGGAGCAAGTTGTTAGCTTGGTAGCCTGATGCCCTGGGTTTATTCTCAGGGTCTTGTCAATTCCCTACTTCCTCAAGATGGAGCTACAATTTTGGTGAATAAAGCCAGAGTCGGTTACATTAGTTTCGCAAAGTAACTTCCAGGTGGAGAGGAGAGTGAGGGACCCTTCCTCAGAGCAACTCCCTGACAGTGTATCCATACATGACTGTATTTTAAGGGTTTCAAAAAAGTGACAATTCTTCTAATAACATGGACTTTATTATGTTTGTCAAACTAGTGAATGTGTGGCCTTCAGCCTCACGGATTTAGCACATAGGCATTTTAGCGCGCAGACACTGTGTCCCAGCCCATCTTTCTACCTCATTTGTAATGAGGCTCCATTATCCTAGAGGCAAAGGCGGAGTTGAGGGTTGTGATGGGTCAGGGCCAGGTGGTGAAGGAATGGTATTTACTACAGTATTGGTTCAAACTGAAAACTAAATATAAACAGCGGTGGCTTTGTTATTTCAGGGCAACTGGTGTTTTAAAAATGACTTGGTATTAGCAGTTTTATCCCCAAGTTTTTGCTTTATAAATGGAGATGCTGTGATGGGTGCAGTCCTTAGAATTACAAGAGATGGGTAAATGGTTCTGTGCAAAAGGACCAGGCTAATGATTGAATAATTCAGTTTTAATAATGTTCTTGTCACAAGTCCCCCCACTCCAGCCTCCATCTTTAAAAAAAGAAAGTAAGTTCAAAGTCTCTTACATTTGGGAATGGCAGGAAATGCTGTTGCTATAATCTATAGGATAACTCCTGGCTTCAGTGGGCCCCAGCTACTCTGAAGGGTGATGAAACAGGAAGTCCATTAACTCATCTGGAAGGACAGCACAGTTCCTTAGCACTCTAGGCTAGTTACCTAACAACAAGTTCACGGTTGCACTGGACCTCAATCATAGCCTGTTTCATATGGTGTCATACAACCTGTGGCTTTGGGTCCTGTTCAGTTCCATTGTGCCAGCTCTGTAACTTAACTCTGTATCACATCTGGCCTTTTCCTGTAATTCCTATGACTCATAATCCAAGGCAGAGTATCTGTACTGGAAAGCACAATGCTCACAAGCCAGCGGAACTCTGCTAATGGGCTCAGCCACTATCCAGCCATAGTGCCCTGGCAAGTCACATTTCTCTCAGCTCTGCATCTTCCTACCCTTGGACCACAGGGCATCAAATGTGTCAGGCAAGCACTCCTCCCAACCTAGATCTTTTCTCTTTCAAAAGAAAGGGGGAAGGAGTCTGTTCAAATGCTCTCTGGGACCTCCAGTGCTAAAACAGAACAAGACTTGGCAGTAGCATTTTCAGTTTCATCCTAGCAAGAATCAAATAACTATCACTGAAGAGATCGAGAAGTAATTACTTGTCTGCATAATCCATGTTATCATTCCAAACCATTTCTAACATATGGAAATGATCCTCCCTGGCATTACCATGCACACTGACCAAATGTCCAGATTACTGAATGCACTTGCGAAAATAATCCCTCTTCTAAAGAAGTGTAGTCTGAGTGTTTCAAAGAAAAACCAGGCACTTAGTTCATGGTTTTCTTTCTTAGTCATCTGGAGTTGATGTCTGTGGGCCGTCTATATTTTTCTCACAGTATCTGAGTTTCTCTTATCAAATTAGGGCCTTCATAGAATAGTCCTTCATTTTTCTTAAGTGTAAAGTCAAACTTTCTCAGGATGATACTGTTCGTAACCACAACCCTCACACATTGTGGACTACCCCTAGCCCGTCAGTGTTTCCTCTCACATTCCCTTTACTTCAGGTCACTTTTGAGAAGTCTGTTTTCACTGTTATGAGGAAGGTGGTTGAGGATTTCTGAAAGTGATTTGAAACTACTAAATTGCATGTTCAGTGAATTTTTCAGCATGGATTGAAATCATAGTTTGAGAGATGTGATAACACTTAACCTTAAGACCCGCCTCCTTTTTCATCTGGCCAGGTTACATATTTATTTTATGGAGCAAGAGATGAGACTTTGTAGATCTGGGCCCAGGAGAGGCCCTGAGTTTGACCCTAGTCTTTGGGCTCCATTGCCTACTCACCCATGAACAAGTAAAGCCAAATGCCCCCACCTCACCCCCCTTCTTTTTCTCCTTTGCATTCCAGTCAAGATTATTTGGGAATGTAGATGGTACCGCCACGCCATTTTGTTTAAATATGGAAACAAAACTACAGGCCTTTCAGTGCAAGCTTTCCCCCACCTTCCTCTTGCTTCTTCGCCACCCTCTCTTTTCCCTTCCCTCTGGATCCCTTCTTGGAATACCTCAGCTTGGCTTAGATAGGGACCAGTTGGCAGCTGATAGAGGGTGCTACTCAGGAGTGACAAAGCCAATGGCTGATGAGCCTTTCTGAGGTGGCCGGTCCTTTCTGAAGCAGAGCCCATCGTGAGGGGCACACAGGAAGAGCTGGGTTCCCAAAGGCTTCTTCTGTTCACAGTCTCACTCACAGCTTCCAGGCTGGTAAAAGCTTTCTTCAGGTGGACTTCTGGCTTGTCCCTAAGGAGAAGGTCTGGCCACCCATGATAGAAATGTCAAACACATCCAGATCGCTCCTAAAATTAGTCATGCACACTGAGGTACTCAACCCGTGCCGGGGAAAGGTATCTCAGAGTGACACAGGCATGGTCTTCAGATGTCTTGCAATCATGTAGTGTACCTGTAACCAAATCTAGGGACATTTGGGGGCAAAATAGGTCTCTTAGGATCTCCATCATTCATTTTTCCTTACTTGAATCACAACAAATAAATTTATCTAGAGACACCATCCAGGGAGAATCATTCTAGATAGAGACAGTGCCTTCCAGCTGACTGCCGTTCTGTGGTCATAGCTCTGTCTTTAACTTCTTTTCCAATTAGTTCCCATGGGAAGTAAAACACACTCTCTGTTTCTGAGTCTCTGTGTCTGTCTCTTTCCTCTGTGTGTCTCTCTGTGTGTGTGTGTGTGTTTACAGCTTAACCATTCTGTAGGCTTAGGAAATCAGCAAAACATTCAACACTTTGCCTTCCAAGGCATCTTGCGGTGGTGTTATTTGGGGGAAAACAAGTAACCGCATCGCTCTTGTCTCTTTTAATTTAGATTTTACACAGAATCTGTTTTGAGAGGGAAATGGAGCATGCTAAGCTAATGACAGCTCTCCTTTCTCCCACTTCTCACGTCACAGGGATGTGGTCCTTGCTGCGTTGGGATGTTGGCCACGAAGCCCTCATTAAAAGCAGCCTCCAAATCACTGCAAAAGGAAACAAATGCGCAGGGGGTGGGTGGGTGGGGTGTGGCTAGGTAAGGGTGGTTGGTGGTGAAGCTGGAGAACTGTGTCCAAGTACTGACTTATTGTCAAAGGAGCCCTCACTAGAGCTGCCTGAAACTCTGGTCTGAGACTGAGGAAATGCTTGCTTTCTCTGGCTTCTCCAGCGGTTATTGTCTGGATCCACAAGGCGCTGCAGGAACTAGCATGCCTGTGGGCACCTGCTGGATGTCCTTCGGGTGGGAGCCTGTGGTCACAATAGGCGCCAAAGACAGCTGACCATCCGTTCCAACATGTGCCAAGCGCCCTTCACCCTCACCTGGCGTCTTCACAACGTAGTTATAAAAAATTCTTGTTTCTAGATTAGCACCCATTTTGAGTAGAGCCAGCCACTGCTTGGCGGGAGGCTGGGACTCAGCGGGGACCGTGGGCGGGATGAGGGGATCAAAGGGGACACCAGGGCCGCACAGGCTAGAAGCGCTGCAGGGTAGTGGCTGCCACCGTGCGCCCAGCTGGGAGGCCGCCGAGCAGGCGGCCCTGGCGGAGATTAGCGGCGGCGGTCCCTCCCTGGCCCGAGAGTGAATGAATGATTAGTCTAACGCACCTCCCTGTCCCGGGCAGCTCCGGCTGGGAAGGGCGGAGTCTGAGCCGCCGCTCTTCGTTTTTAAGGGAGAAAGGCGCTGGCCGCTGTGCGTGTTAGTTAGCCGACCTTTCCTGTGGCTCCAACTTCTGCCCTCCCTAGTGTCAGGCCCGCAGTGGCATAAGCACGGAGTCTGTTCTCCAAGGCCACTCGCCCCTCCGTCCCTTCAGCTTCCCGAGTCCCCTGCTTTTCCCTGAGGGAGACAAGGGGGTGTGAAAAGTTGAGGGGCTCCTCCTGTACTCGGTCCGTGACTCCTTTCGGAGCTGGGACAGCAGCGGGAGGCGCCGGGTCTTCTGCTCCGGGCGTGAGCGGGTGGTGGCATCCCGGCTGGGGGCGGCTCCTCTGCGCGGGAGGAGGCGGTGCGCCGGGCGCTGGAGACGCGCCTTCCCGGCTCCGGCTGCTCCCCGGGGCCGGTGGCCGCGGCTGGGCTGCAGGGAGGGTTAGACCGCCTGGCACGGTGTTCGCGGGAGCGACTGTCGCTCCGGCCCAGGGATCGTGGTCTCTCGTGCGACCCTGCGGGTTCCGCACAGCACCCAGTGCGTCCTTTTCTCCCGCACCGAGCAAGCGCGCTGGCAGGACATAGAGCCCGGGGACCCGGCCGGAGCTGCTCGTGCAGGAGCGAGAACCCAGCCCGGCTCCAGAGCGGCGAGCGCACTCGGCAGCGCCACCGCCGATCCCCAGCTCCCGCCGCTTCGCCACCCCTCCTCCCGGCCCTGCTCTGGCGCTGAGGGGCTGACGGCTAACCCGCTGCGAGCAACTCCCTTAGAAAAAAGCCGCCGCATTGGCCGAGGCTGGCCGCAGGACCCCTCCTCCCGGGGCGCCCCCACTCCTCCCCCGCCGCTCCGGGCGCCCGCCTCCCTCTGCCGACTGTCTCCCGGCACGCCGGCCCACAGCCCTTTTGACTGGAGCGGCGGCCGCCGAGCAGAGGCGGCGACGCGGGACCTGCAGTCGCCCGGGATTCCCTCCAGGTGACGATGCTCTGGTTCTCCGGCGTCAGGGCTCTGGCTGAGCGTCCTTGCCGACGCTCGCCTGGGATTACCTGCTGCGTCTTGCTGCTGCTCAATTGCTCCGGGGTCCCCATGTCTTTGGCTTCCTCCTTTCTGACAGGTAGGGGGCTGGGGGCGGGAGGGACCAGTCCTCCGGGACGCTGGGGTGGTTCTTGGGAGAAGCCGCACTGGCTGGCCTGGGGATGTGAGGGTGGGGAGCGCCCACCTTGCCTGTCTCTTGCGGGAGATGGGGATGCGGAGAAGCCCAGAGAAAAAGGGTGGGAAGGGTGTTGAGGTAAAGATGGGGGGGCTGAGTGACTGCTATCTTCGACGGAGTGATGATAGGCACTCTGCTATTTGAAGCTGGGAAAATTCTTGACTTACGTTGGATCTTCTTCTCAAACCTTGCTTTAATCGTAACCCCTCCTATGCAATTAAGGAAAAGACAGCGCTGTTTCCCGCACATCCTCTTTTCTCACTTCATAGGATTCCAATAAATCCACTGTGCTCGGCAGCGTTTTAAAAGCATGGCTTTCCAGACCTTGAATTTAAAGAAACGATCTTATTTTTAAAGGTTACTAATAGCAGGATATAATAATTACATGTTTTCAGGCAGGTGAGGACCTCGGCTGCTATTTTGAAGGACACGCTTTACTGACACCTGGTGCAGAAAGTAGAATATTTCTAAGAGAAAAGAGACTGCATTTCAAAAAGTGATTCCAACCCACAGCAGTAGGCAGATCTACCCGAAAGACCCGTTCTTTCGTTCACATTTAAAATCTTCCCTGATGACCAGTTTGGTGTGTGAGTCTGTGTGTAGCTCAAAAGCCTCCCTCCAGAGTACTGTCATTATTAAATATGTGCTCAAACCAACCCAAAACAGAGAACCGATCTACGTACTGTGGTGGCTTAGGAAAACAAAAACGTGTTAAGCCAAACTATTTTAAATAGATTTGGGGAGACCTGTTTGTGGTAAGCTTGATAGTGTAAAGCAAAACATTTCAGATTACTGGCATTAAAAGGTAAGATTTTACAGTAACTCCGTTAAGCAATATTTAGATTTAAAATATTTCCATTTTCATTTCAGGGTCTGTCGCAAAGTGTGAAAATGAAGGGGAAGTCCTCCAAATCCCATTTATCACCGACAACCCTTGCATTATGTGTGTGTGCTTGGTAAGTGTACAGGTCAGGTGAAGCGAACCTAACTGCTGTCAAGTCTACATCTGTTAACCATGACTGAATAAGTGTCTCAAAATTGGTTTTGACCATTACCACAGTGCACAGAGCTTATGCACTGAATCCAGTTGAATTTCCTAGTTTTATGGATTTTGGTAATTTCTGCCTCATCAGGCTGAGAGTTCTTATCTTTGACATCACTTTTGTACAAGCAAAAGCCAGGAGGGATTTTGCACAGCATTGTTTCAGGAAAGCTATGGTTTAGAATGCCTGCTACTACAATGAAGTTATAGATATCGCTACCATTCAACTTTCTGCACTGGTCCTATCCGGTGAGCTCAGCAGGGAAATGCTGAGATAGCATTTAAATACAGTGGTCAAGGATAAGATATGCGAGCAGGGAAAAAGGTGACTGCCATAGAGGACAAATGTAGGACAAGATCTAATCTTGGTTGATGTCTCGCATTTCCTGGCTTGCTGGCTTATGCTCTGTAGTACAGGCTGCTTTTCTGATTTGGAAGCACAGGTCAGGAGGAAGGATCTCCTCCTAACTGAGAGTGACACTTGGCTGTCAAATGCTCAGTTAGTACTGGCAGTGGCTAGTAGATTCAAACAGATCATTTGTTTCAAGTTATTTTAGCTTTTAAACTACTGATAATTCTGATAAATAGCTGGCTGAAGGAGATTAAACTATACTAAAAAGACTTTTTGAGAGACATGCAGATCTACAAAGAGCAACATTCTTGCTTAGGAGTGTTTTACATGACATTTACTTTTGGCAAAACTTAGTTAAAATGACACATCATGAAATCCTGTTGGAAATACCTTAAGGCATTTAAGAGCAGATCCCTACAGGGATGTTTAGATAATAGCTTGTTATCCCAATCAGCCGCATGGGACTAGAGTATCTAACTCTGCTCAGACAAAAGCCATGCTATCTATGTCTTAAAGGACCCAGATTCCTTTGTGACAAGAGATGAGGTCAATGTTAGGAAATGATAAATGAGTTTGTGCTTGCATCAAATAATCATCACGCTCTGGAGTAAAGGAGTCATAGAAACAAGTGAACGTGTGTTTCATTGGTTGAGACAATGAGCATCACAGCCTAATGAAAGGTGCTTTTTCTGTGAACGAGCTGCTGTGTTAACCATCTTCACTAAAGAATGTGTTGAAAAAAATTCTAAGTTTAAAATTTGGCTTGGTTATAGGTTTACAAGTGTGGCATGTGAACATGGTGTCCCCCTGTCATTTATTTGTATAATGTGAATAAATGATTTTACTTTATTCTCAACATTTTAGCAGAGATTATCCTAAGTGATATTTCAAAATGCTGAGAGCTCTATCTGTGAACTTATTACTTTTCTCTTTGGTGATATTACTATTTGTGAAGTTTAAACATGCATTTTGATTTTGCAAACTACTACCAAGTAATGTTATTAAACATTCCCCACAAGGCGGTTTCCTTTCCTAGTATCCTTTTCCCCATGATGGATAGTTCCTTTCTTTCCATGTAGAGACCTAGTAATATGAAAATTGATATCGTATTTGTTCTGTGCTTTGTAAAGGTATCAGCTAAGTTCTTAAGGACAGAAAGAACATGTAGAGGACAAGCCACACTCTTTTTTGGGGGGGATGCTGGCAGTATCATTGTTCCTTCAAACTCCTTCCTTAGCTGCTATAGCAGTGATATCTGACCATGACCTTGGCAGGGATGTAGAAGGATGAGCCCAAGTTCTCAGTGTCATTGTTTCTCACACATCTGTGACGGCTTAGTCAAACTGAGGAAGAGTAGGTGGTAAACATTTCTATCTACTCTTGTACATTTCTAGGGGATCTGCTACACCCATGGATTTCTTGCTGGATGGGTCAGGAGGCTGCTTGAGATTTTTATACATTGGTTGGAAAAGAGATATATTTAATAAATTGATAGTATTGGCAAGCAAACATTTCCAAAACCTTATTTATTTGTCCAGGCAGCTTTTGAGACTTGCATTATTTAACTTGATCCCCGTAAAAATCCTTTGAGATGTTCCTGCTCTTCTTGGGGCTAAGCCTTAGGAAATTGAGTAGCTTGTGGAGGTCACACTCTATGTGCACAGTATTTAGTGTTTTATTTATCAGAGTTACTGAGCTGATGCTCAGAGTTATGGCTGTCTCTGAAGCATACACTCATAAGTAGGAGAAATGGGCTGGTGGTTAAGCTACCAAATGAGAAGATGGAGAAGGGAGAAAGCCCGTTGAACTGTCTTTACCTTCAGGCCTTCCTTCAATGATTTTGTTTTGTTCCTTCGAGCCAGCCAGAGCTTAGGTAGTTAGCAGTTGTTAGTCACACTGCACAAAAGGAAAAAAAAATCTCTTTACGATTTCAGCTGACCTTCAGGGAGGTTTGGTCCTGGGTGAGGTTTACTTAGGAATATTGGAAGATATGTGATAGTTTAACTCAATTTTGGATTAGGGACATAGGAATATTTAGTTTGGGTTGGTCCAGCTTTTTTGGAATAAAGTAGTTAGGGTTGGGTGCAAGCTTGTATCTTGTTTCATAACATGTATGAAAAGAGCAAACCTTCAATATATGCTTTAAAAAGATGAAAGGACTTACAGTTGGGGGAAGTCGGTGGCACAGAGTCCTAAGTGTAATTACAGTGTCAGAAAATCCTGAAAAACCCCAAAGAATCCACTCAGCCTGATTTAACTGTTAAGGTTTGGAGTAGTTCGGGGATAGAATGAACACATTTCTGTGGCCACTCAGGGGACGAGGATGACAGTGAGTGCAGTGGACTTGGTGAGCAGGAGCGGACAGTCTAGAACAGTTCCACCCTCACTTATCAGTTGCAGAGGCCGGAGCTCCTGGCCACACCATGGAGTGGTCCAGGAATAATCTGTTCACTACATGTCTGCAGAACTCTTTTATAAATGGGTGGGCGCTGAGTCTTCAGTTCCTGAATTCCAGGGCAGAGGTGGGGAGTAGAGCCCTGTTCTGGGGATCCAGGTAGGCAGTGTGTCCTAGCAGGGTCCCAGCACCTTACAGTCTTTAATGGGACCGAGGGACCTCATACTGTTTTGTTTCGCAATCCGTCCCCCCCCACCAGATAGAGTTAGTTTTCCAATAACACCAGGAACACACATGGGTGTCTGTCCCAAAGCCCTGCTGTTGGGGGCCAGTCATACTCAGGTACATGACCCTGGTGCAGCTCTCTGCCCCACGGCCACCCCCAAACCCTCCAGGCACAGGAGGAGGGGTGTTGGTGCTGCTGGGTCTTTTCCCACCTCACTGCAGCTGAGGAAGTCGTGGGAGCCAGTGAGTTCCGCCCAGGACTAGAAACCTGAGATAACTTTGGAGTCTGGGACACTGAAAACCAGAAGTCAGAGCTTAGTTTGGCGTACATTTTGTTCAGCAAAAAACATTATTCCTGAGGTTGAAATTTCCTCTTTTAAATCCAGAGGTGCAATGCAGAAATGGGCTCTTGCTCATAAAAAGCCATTCGAACTCCCCGTTACAAGAAGCAGGCCCCACCTATCTTGGAGCTGACTGAGCAGCTTAACAGAGCCGACCTTGTCTGCTTGTCTTCTACTTTCGTAATCACAAAAATCCTCCATCGCTCAAGGAGCAGCTCTAGCATCTCTGAGTCTCAACTGTCTCTGCCTCTCTAGGTTTTCAGCCCAGAAAATCCTTATCTTTTCCATGGTTCACAGTCTAAGTGCCTGGAGTACGGCAGAGGCCATCAGAGCTGGGCTGCTACAGGGTTTGGGTCCCGTGCGAGCCATGCACTGGGAAAGTGAAGTAGCCTCTGGAGTCAAGGACATTTGGCTTGCAATGTGTGCATGTAGACACGTGCCCCCTTCTCAAAAATGTCACATGTCGTTTCAGAAGTGATCCAGTCTATTGATTTGTATTTATTTTTGCTTTTTTTTTTAAGGTAATGTTGGCTGAATGCCTTTCAATAGAACCATTTTTGAGGAAAGGGTATTCAAACAGTTGTGCTGGAAAATTCACAGATGCCAGCTCTGAGACAGTTACACCTCCACAGTTTTCTAGGCTCAGAGGAGCAGAGCAAACCCGAGGCCACACAGGCCCTGAGGAGGAACTGGGATGTGAAATCAGTTTACTGTCCACATCAGCAGTCTCCTTCTGCTGGCTGATCACCCCTGAGAGCTTTCAGAGAGGCCCCTCCACCCAGCCAGCTCAGGGTTCCTTGTGGGAGGAGTCAGAATGGAATTTTGAAGGCTATAGTTTCCCAGAGGTCCTGAGTTCAATTCCTGGCAACCACACGGTGGCCCACAGAATGGAATTTGAGCTGATAGCACAAACCTGTCTTGGAATTTGGAGAACCTTTCAGGGATAGAGGCAACATTTGTTTGGCATCCTGTCATTTTGGGGAAGGGGTTTAGTTTAGGAATTCAAGAAGCCTGGTTTCACATCTAAAGAGTGGTGAAGGTGGATAGTTATGTCCTCTCCCTAAGCCTGGTTCTTTACATGGAAAGTAGGATAGATATCAATGTCTAGCCTGTGGGGTTGCCACGAGAATTCAGTGGTGTGAACACCACTTAGACTGTAGGCTTAGGCTGCAGAAAGTCCCCTGAGATGATCTTTTCTTCTTCTTCTTCTTTTTTTTTTTTGCTGCTATTACTATGTTGGTGTTACTCTTTAAATTATTATTTCCTCAGATGAAATGGTCTGGAGGTTTGTCAGGACAGAATAAAAAGAAATGATGGAGAAGAGGCCTAGGGGTGATATCACATCTACCCTTCTCTGTGAACCAACTCGATTACATCAGGAAAGCTTAGAGAGGTTTATGTGCCTCCTACTTGAGCTGGCTGGTCATGGCTGCTCCTTGTTGGTCCAGTGTTCTGGGGGCCCTGGTGTGAGCTTTCCCCTTGCTCTTTATTAAACATTAAGAAAAACTTTCCATCGGAGTGGGCCTCCTTTCTTGTAGGGTATTTACATCTCCCTGCCTGTGGGGTCACCTCCACTTGTACTTTCATTGGCAGATAGGGTT